CGCTGCAGGGAGGGAGGCCCGGCTGCCTCAAGTTTTAGTGGGGTTTGTCTTGCCTGCCTGCCTGCCTGACGCCTGAACCAGTGGTGGTGACACATCATGTGTCAGGCACAAGCCAGGTGGTTGAAGGATGCCCCTGGGAGATCTTGATAGGCACAAAGAGAAGACAGTAGAATAGGTGTTGAAGACACCTTCCAAGAAACTTGGTTCCAGCTACCAAACGGTTGAGAGAAATCACCAGAGCTCATCCCTGGGAGGTCAGGGCGGCAGGGGAGCATAAAAGACACTGCAACGTGCAGTTTGGAATTGGGAACCATGACCTGCTAGTAATGGAAAGTCGGAAAAGAGACTTCACTGTCTTTTTGTTATCTGAGGTTTGAAAGTCCTGGAGGATGACCTAGCACTTAAGAATCAACTGTGGCCCAGTTGAAGGCCAAGTGAGAGCAAGTTGACTTGAAAGACGCCAAGTGGTGGGATCAGCTCAAAAGTAAAACAAATCCCAAACTGAGAGAGTACCTGGTGAGACTTTTTTGTTTTTATTAACAATATATTGAGTTATTGGAGCCAGGCACTGGATTTTGTAGGACCCTCCTTGGCTGGAAACAGTTCATAGTGTTTTTTTTTAATTAATATTTGTACAATCTTCTGGATAACTTTTATTTCAAGAAGGAGTAAAAGGGAGTATTGAAAATTAAAGAAGCGGATTCAAATTTTGAGCACTTAAAGAAAACAGGTTGAAGAACTTAAATCCAGGATGGATGTGCAGGAGCTGCAGGAGTTGAGTATGTTTGCAGAGAGTGAACTGATGTCTGTGGGGATGGACACATTCATCCATCGCATTGACTCCACGGAAGTCATCTACCAGCCCCGACGCAAAAGGGCCAAGCTCATTGGCAAATACCTGATGGGGGACTTACTTGGAGAAGGGTCTTATGGCAAAGTCAAGGAGATGTTGGACTCTGAAACCCTCTGTCGGAGAGCTGTCAAAATCCTGAAGAAGAAGAAACTACGCAGGATCCCTAATGGGGAGGCAAATGTTAAAAAGTGAGTATAAGTTTCCTGTAGCTTATAATCAAGGCATTAAGTTTGGTCAGTATTTTCTAGTTGACATTCTGTATTTTGTACAACACTGTATATAGTCTTACATTTTGAAAGTGATTTACAAACTTATGTACAGGTGAGAATTACTTCCCCTTGAAATGCAGTCAGTTTGGGTGAGGAGTGGCTGTCAAATACCACACAACAGTGGGGAACAGAGAAAGAAAACATCACCTCAGAGGAATGGCAGAGCAAGCGTTTCTATGCATGATATAAACTGGCATGGTAGGGGTTTTCTAATATCGCCACAGAGCAGAATCCCAGTTTCTGGAGTCTTACACAAAAGAGGCACATGGCTAGTTGCATTGTGCTTGAGAGCTAACAAAAAATGTATAATTAAAACAAATTTTAAAGTCTGCATAGTCATGTACGTATGCAGAATTATAGGTGTGTGTTTTTGCATTTAACAGCCTATGCCATAAGGACTGTGCATTTAGGGACCTGTTACATAGATGGGAGCATAATCCAGTGCATTGTGCACTAACCATGCATCAGGAGACCTGGAGTCTAGCCTTGATCTGTTGTTAAGTATGACCTTGGGAAGTCACTTATTTCTCTACCTGTAAAATGGGGATATTGTACTTGCCCACAGTGGATTTTTTTAATGTCACTCAGGTCTTGTTTAAAGTGCTTCAACCATAAATCTTAAGTAATGTGTTGGTAGCTGTTCGTGCACTAACTTCTCTCAGTCCAGCAAAGTTGTTAGAATACAGGTTTTTCCATGCAATGTCTCATAAGAAAAATGAATAATGTTTGCTAACCATTTCTTGACGTTTTGTGCAATGACCCCATGGAGACTGTTGAAGAAATGTAGCGAACTGCTTGGTATAGCCCTGCAATAAAGGATTGTTTCTCTGGAGTGACCCGAAAGCTGCTTCAAGAAAGAATTAATTGAAGCAGACCTCAAAGCAAGAGGGACCTTTGCAGGATGTGTTAGAAGTCTCTTGGGATGTTCCTGATCTTACATTCTCAGGCATTGCATGCTGAGTGTAGAGCCCTGACCTAGTGGACTCTTTAGTTTGGAGGTGTGTAGGGTGTTTTTGTTTTTAAGATTGCTGGATGATACTTTGTCCTGTATTAGGCCTTCTGTTGATTAGCTCTTCAGATTTACCTCCTAACCTTGAGAGTACAGAGTGAACTGCTACAGTATAGTCATGAAATCGAACCATGAGACCTTGCTATGTCTGCTGTTCTGGCTCCATTTCATTATAAAAGTAAACTGCTGGTTAATGTGTAATAAAACATTGCCTGTAGGGTGTTTCTTTTTTTTCCCCCCTGCTCCATAGAGGTGTCTGTCACTTTGCTCCCTTCTTCCCTCACCCTTAAGTTCTCCAGTTACATCCGGAGTGTCTCCAAAAGAACTGAGAGGTTGCCTTTTCCTTATGGCAAACTTATTTTAAAAGCTGTCCCGTGCCAGTGCATAAGAATTCCCTGAATTAACTGTCCATTTAACGAGGGGGGAACTGTGGAAGAAGTCTTGTACTGTCTTGAGGTTCTTTTTGAAGTTTTGTTCAGTTACATCTAGCTTGTTTAGTAATCGGAGCAGTCTAGCAAAAAATACTAATTTCTGAGACCAACATGGTGTGTCTAGACAGTTGCAGCTGGCTGTTACTACAGCTGTAGTTCCTAAACACTGAGGCAGACTTTCACTTCAGCCTTCTAGGAAGGGTCTATTTTAGCTCTAAGTCTGTGCTTTAAATGGTCTGGTTTTGTTGCCTGTTCTTCCCTCCTCAACTCACTTGTTTCATCTGCTTATTGCATCTTGTTGCATTAAGAGGAGCATTGCCAGCAGATCCAGAGAAGTGATTATTCCCCTTTATTCAGCTCTGGTAAGGCCACATCTGGGGTATTATGTCCAGTTCTGGGCCCCCCACTACAAAAAGGATGTGGATGCATTGGAGAGGGTCCAGCGGAGGGCAACCAAAATGATTAGGGGGCTGGAGCATATGACCTATGAGGAGAGACTGAGGGAGTTGGGTCTGTTTAGTCTGCAGAAGCGAAGAGTGAGGGGGGGATTTGATAGCAGCCTTCAACTTCCTGAAGGGAGGTTCCAAAGAGGATGGGGAGAGGCTGTTCTCAGTAGTGACAGATGGCAGAACAAGGAGCAATGGGCTCAATTGTGGTGGGAGAGGTCCAGGTTGGATATTAGGAAAAACTATTTCCCTAGGAGGGTGGGGAAGCACTGGGATGAGTTACCTAGGGAGGGGGTGGAGTCTCCATCCCTAGAGGTGTTCAAGTCTTGGCTTGACAAAGCCCTGGCTGGGTCAATTTAGTTGGGATTGGTCCTGCCTAGAGCAGGGGGCTGGACTTGATGACTTTCTGAGGTCTCTTCCAGTTCTATGATTCTTAGATCAAACTTTGAATCCGTGTCACAGATTTCCATGGGCTCCTGCCGTAGTGGAAGCTCTTAGGCCAGGGGTGGGCAAAAGGGCCCCCGTGGGCTGGATCTGGCCTGTCAAGCAGGTTGATCCGGCCTGTGGAGGCCCTGCCGTTCCCTCGACCCCAGACCAATTAGGGCTCGGGTGCGAGGGGAAGTGCACAAAGTTTCTTTTGCCCTGCCAGGAGCATGAAGTGCTTTGAAGCGCTGCGCGCTCCTGGCAGGGTGGGACAAGGCTTCACGTGCTCCCCCTGCCTCCAGGCTCTGATTGGCCTGAATGTGGGGGAGCACAGGAAGTCTCTTCCCACCACCAGGGGCATGGGTGCCTAGGGAGACCCTGGGGGGGGAGGGGCAAAGGGGCTCCTCCACCCGCAGACCAATCATGGTCTGTGGGTGGGGAAGCCCAGAAGCATTCTGGGCCCATTCCTTCCCTTTGAGGCCCTGCCCCTTCAGGTGCAGCCCAGGGCCACTTCAAAAAATTAAGTGGTCCCTGGCAAAAAAAATTATTTCCCACCCCGTCTTAGGCACTACTGCTATATAAGTGATAAGTCTCCAGCAGTGTAGACTTTGTGCTCAGGGCTTCTCGTGACGGTACTTAGAGAAATGGGATGGTCTGGCTGGGCAGCTTGCATGGGGATCAAATCTTAGTAGTGACTGGACTCCAGATAGCACCGCACCCGAGCACTGTTCCAATGCGGCTTGCTCCTCGTCACGCTGTCTGGCCAAACGTCATTAAAACTTTGCTACACGCAGATTTGAGGAGCCACCTTAAACATGGTTTAAACTCATTGCTCCCGTTTGCATGCTATGGAAAGTGGACTAATCCCCCATTCGGAGCCAAAGCTAACCTCTCTGATGCAACCGAACAAGATTGCCCTTCCGTACACCAAGGTTCTGAGCATGAGTGAGGGTGCTGTCTGCAGTCTGAGCTGTACTGGGGCCCTGCTCCTGATCCATCACGGTTTGCTTCAGTGGAAACATGACTGGCCTAGCGATGCTGGTGCACTTGCAGTTGTTTGCTCTCCAACTCCTGTGTGATTGGGCCCACAGTTAATAATCAGAGCCCCCATCTTTCCATCTGAGTAGAGGAGTTCGGTAACTGTCCCTTTGGATGTGTGCCAACAATGCTTAAAAAGGAGTGATTCACTCCTAGGATACAAACCCTCTAGCTTCCTGGTTAGCAGTCTGCATGTGGTTCACTTTGGTATGTGCTGAAACTTGCTGCTGGGTGCTCGCTGCTCTGTGGCCAATTTAACCTACGTTTGGTCTTGGCTTAATTCCCCTTGGGCAGGAGTCCACATCAGATGGGGGAAGGGAGATGTTCCCTGTGCTCTTGCACTTTACCTGCTGTGGGGGTAAATGCTGGTCTCATGTCACTCACCAGCACATTTATTAAAAAGTGAATACGTTTTCTTTACTGTTTTTTGTAGTCATCCAATCTCAGCGAAAAGCTGTGGGGGGGCACTGCCTGTCTCTGCACAGTCGATCAGTTTCCCAGAATGTCAAAGAACACCCGAAATAGTCCTTAAAGAGCTGTGGTCAAAGGTGGTGTAGTGCATGGCCCAATAAAATCAAGCAGATTGGGACTTGTTAATTTTAGACCCCCCCCCTTCCAGGATTAACTTGCCTTAAGGGTTTTTTGTGTGTGTTTGTCATAATGAGACACATGCATTGTTTGTAGAGCGCAGGGATTGTATTTCCACCCTCACCCCTACATCCCTGCTTTCTATTTTGGGGAGGAAGAGTTAAAAGGTTGTGACTGGACTGAGGCTTTTATTGCAGATGTACATGGTGAGGTTCTTGATCTGTCTCCATAATCAGGTGGGGAGTCTGCTGCTGGACAAAAGTTTTGATCTGGCTGTGACTTCAGCTACGTAACCGTACAACGTGCCAGTTGTTAGCTAATGCCATTTGAGAGCAAAATCCCTCCTTTTCTCTGCCACTGGACCAGACCACCACATGCCATGTAGGGGTGCATGCAGTGAGAGGGCTTTTCCAAGCAGGTAAGGGTTGACTGGAGTGCTCCTAGTTGAGTCTGTTTTGGACGTTTGCCCCCAGCACAGAAAGGTTACGTGATGGCTGGTCTTTGCTCTAGTTGCTAGACTAAGAGCTCTAAATGTATAGTGTTGCAAGCGAGGGTGCCAGTGCTTGGCATGGAGGCTGGAGAGTCTGCACAGTACACTGCGACAGTAAGGTTGACTTGAGTCACTGCTAAGAGATCCTCGCTTGCTTGAGCCTTAAGGGGCTATCTGTAGAGCCCTGCAAATATGCAGGCATCTGCTTTATATCCCCTGGCCTGCACATCCATAGATGTGCACATGTGTGTTGTTTGTGTAGATGCAGATACCAATTTATCTAGAACCTGCAAACTTGCAGATATCTGCTTTATATCCAGAGTTATCCGCATCTGCAGATGTGGTTGCAGATTTCAGTGGCTCACTTTCGTGGATACAGGTGTGGATACTAGGGATGATAAATATTGGTTAATTGAATAGTCAAGTAACCTCAAGAATTCTTATCAATTAGTTGACTATTCTGTAGTCCCCGGGGGTGGGGCCAGCAGCCAATG